CTGCGCAGTGCATGGCAGGAGTAGCTTGGGAACTTTGATGAGAGGGCGACGACGTGACATGGACGCACATACTTCTGCGAGCGGCATTCGGGAGGTTCGCAGGTCCCCGATCAATGGGAGCTTCTGCGAGCGGCATTCGGAAGGTTCGGAGGTTCGCTTGTGCGAGCGGCATTCGGGAGTGGCGACAGTGTCGCAGATCGCAGCGGCCCAGGGACGGCGAGGTGCCGCTCAGGTCTGCGCGGTGCTTCACTCCGCTGGAACCGCCAACAGCCCTCGAGAGTGGCGACAGTGTCGCAGATCGCAGCGGCCCAGGGACGGCGAGGTCCCGCTCAGGTCTGCGCGGTGTCTCACTCCGCTGGACCCACCAGCAGCCCTCGAGAGTGGCGGCAGTGTCGCAGATCGCAGCGGCCCAGGGACGGCGAGGTCCCGCTCAGGTCTGCGCGGTGCCTCACTCCGCTGGACCCGCCAGCAGCCCTCGAAAGTGGCAACAGTGTCGCAGATCGCAGCCCCCCAGGGACGGCGAGGTCTCGCTCAGGTCTGCGCGGTGCCTCGCTCCGCTGGACCCTCCATCAGCCCTCGAGAGTGGCGAGTGTCGCAGATCGCAGCGGCCCAGGGACGCAGATTGCAGCGGCCCAGGGACGGCGAGGTCCCGCTCAGGTCTGCGCGGTGCCTCGCTCCGCTGGACCCACCAGCAGCCCTCGAGAGTGGCGGCAGTGTCGCAGATCGCAGCGGCCCAGGGACGGCGAGGTCCCGCTCAGGTCTGCGCGGTGCCTCACTCCGCTGGACCCGCCAGCAGCTCTCGAAAGTGGCGACAGTGTCGCAGATCGCAGCCCCCCAGGGACGGCGAGGTCTCGCTCAGGTCTGCGCGGTGCCTCACTCCGCTGGACCCTCCACCAGCCCTCGAGAGTGGCGACAGTGTCGCAGATCGCAGCGGCCCAGGGACGCAGATTGCAGCGGCCCAGGGACGGCGAGGTCCCGCTCAGGTCTGCGCGGTGCCTCACTCCGCTGGAACCGCCAGCAGCCCTCGAACGTGGCGGCAGTGTCGCAGATCGCAGCCCCCCCAGGGACGGCGAGGTCTCGCTCAGGTCTGCGCGGTGCCTCGCTCCGCTGGACCCTCCGTCAGCCCTCGAGAGTGGCGGCAGTGTCGCAGATCGCAGCCCCCCAGGGTCGCAGATTGCAGCGGCCCAGGGACGGTGAGCTCCCGCTCAGGTCTGCGCGGTGCTTCACTTCGCTGGGCCTACCAGCAGCCCTCGAAAGTGGCGGCAGCGTCGCAGATCGCAGCGGCCCAGGGACGGCGAGGTCCCGCTCAGCCTCGAAAGTGGCGACAGTGTCGCAGATCGCAGCCTCCTAGGGACGCTGAGGTCCCGCGCAGGTATGCGCGGTGCCTCACTCCGCTGGACCCACCAGCGTGGCGGCAGCGTCGCAGAGCGCAGCTCCCCAGGGACGGCAAGGTCTGCGCGGTGCCTCACTCCGCTGGACCCGCCAGCAGCCCTCGAAAGTGGCGACAGTGTCGCATTTCGCAGCAGGGACGGCGAGGTCCCGCTCAGGTCTGCGCGGTGCCTCGCTCCGCTGGACCCACCAGCAGCCCTCGAAAGTGGCGGCAGCGTCGCAGATCGCAGCCCCCCAGGGACGCTGAGGTGCCGCTCAGGTCTGCGCGGTGCCTCGCTCCGCTGGACCCACGGGCAGCCCTCGAGAGTGGCGGCAGTGTCGCAGATCGCAGCGCCCCAGGGACGGCGAGGTCCCGCTCAGGTCTGCGCGGTGCCTCACTCCGCTGGACCCGCCAACAGCCCTCGAAAGTGGCGGCAGTGTCGCAGATCGCAGCGGCCCAGGGACGGCGAGGCCCGCTCAGGTCTGCGCGGGGCCTCGCTCCGCTGGACCCGCCTGCAGCCCTCGAGACTGGCGACAGTGTCGCAGAGCGCCGCCCCCCAGGGATGGCGAGGTCCTGGGGGGCAGCAGGCGAGAAGGCGGCGAGAGGCAGGAGGCGGGAGGCGGGAGGAGAAGTCGCGACCGCAGTGCTTTATTCAAGACTCAAGACGAACACCCAGCCAAGGAGGGTTTTCAGAACGTCCAGCACGCCAGGCACCTCCTGGAGGCAGTTTGAGGCCTCTGGGGGGCTGTTTGGGATCCTCTTGGGGCCTCTTTTGGGTCTTTTGGGCGCCTCTTGGGGCCTCGGTGGGGCCTCGTCAAGGCCTCTCGGAGCCTCTTTTGGGCCTCTGGGGACTTCCTCGGCACCCTTGGGACGGAAGGCTCAGGTGTTCGTTTTGTGTTCCACTTCTTGGGCCCCTTTTGCGGTCGTGTTGGGACCCTCTTGGGCCGTCTCGGGCACCTCTTGGGCCGTTTTGGAGCCCTCTTGGGCCGCCTTGGGACCCTCTTGGTGGCGGTCTTGGGGGCCTCTTGGGGCGGCCTTGGGGGCCTCTTGGGATGTCTTGGAGCGTCGGAAGCTCGAAAAGTGGATAACTCGAAACACATTTAAAGACCGACATAACATCACTGATCTTTGCTCCTCGGTGCCCTATTAGGACGACGGCTCTTGAGGCTCTCTTGTGGCACCTCGAAGGCTTCGTGGGGCATCATGGGGCCACCTTGGGCGTTTTGAACCGATGGTTTGGCGACTCGCCCACTCTTGGACCGTCTTGAGATGACTCTTGGGGCCCTCTTTCGAGCCCACTTGGCTCTGGAAAAGTCACGCGAGAATCCGCGGAAAGCCCTGGAAGATAGGTGAATTTGGTGTCCAGGCTCCTAAATAATCCTCAGGGTTGAGGACTGGGGCTCCAGGGGATCAAACAAGGGACCCGATGACACTCCAACTCGTGCCTCAAGAGCACGGTGTAGGAGGATATGAGGAGTTTCTAAGCAACAGTTGCAAGCAAACGCAGCTCACATGGCCTGTTTGTTCCTGCATATGCGCGCTGCATGCAGTGCTGGGTGAATGTTCGTGGACAGGCTACACTGGAAACCCATGCCAAGAAACACTCGGCTTGCCTCCAGGGTGCCCTGGGTTTCTTGGGTTTTGATGGTCTTGCTATGGAAAGCGTGACGCTCCAACGCCAGAACTCAGCGGACGTCCTGGGATCTCAGGGTTGGGTTTCTTGTGGAAGGTTTCTCGTGCTCGAGCTCCTGCTGCATGCCCAGACTTTTCGACGGGTTGCGCATGTCCGACATGCGCAACCCGTCGCGCCGTTCGCGTTGAATGTCGCGGCGTTGTTGTTGGCTGACCGTCTAGCAGTCTCCGCTCTCAGTTCGCGCGTCGTTTGACGGTCCCATTGGTCTAAAGCTCCTCATGTGGGGGGCCGGGGGCGTTTTTCACGTGTCTATGCCTTTTCTCCCAGCCGCGGGCCCCAGAGGTGTCGGCCCCTTCCCCGGAGCCATCTCTGCCAGCGCCGTGGGCCCCGAGCGCGGCCCCTGTGGAGGCCGCGAGTGCAGGCCCGGGCTTCCCCCAGGACGGGGTCCGAGCAGACGGGGTCGGAGGATCGTGCCGCCTCGCCGATGCAGTGGTGAGGCGGCTCGAGGTGGAGCACGAGTTTCCCCACGCCGGCGTCGCAGATGCAAGATGTCCCCAAGATTTTCCCCGCGCCGAGTTCCATGCCGTGCCATACTTCTTCTGGGAGCTTATGTGTGAGAACTGCTGAATTCAATCCCGTGCTGTGTAGCCGATGCGCCGTGCGGCGCGGCTCCACTGACTGACGGCGTCGCAGATGCGTCGCCGACGTCGCCGCTGCATTGGCGATGCGGCGCGGTCGTTCGACCCCGTCTACTCGGGCCCCATCTGGGAGGCCTCTGGAAGAGAAGCGGGAGCACAGCTCGACCCCGGACGGAGAGTCTTGGGAGAAGCTGCCGGCGGCAGCGAGCAGCGGCACACGCGGAGCTCGAGAGGCGGGGGTCTCCATGCAGACGTGGGCCCGTCGGAGTGCAAGATCTCGCGGGAGCCTGCAGGGCCGGGGTGGCAATGGCCCCTGGTTGGGGTGCAGGATCCGGCAGGACCCTGCGGGATCCCGCTGGATCCTGCAATCGCCGAGCGCGTTCCACTGCCCGCAAAGCGCCTGCTCGCAGACGTCCGGAACACACCTGTTTGTTTTGTTTCTCGTAGGGCCCCCGCAGGGGGTCCAGGCCGTTTGCGAGCAGTTACTTTGCGAGCAGTGGGACGCGCTCGCCAACGCAGGGCCCGACGGAACCCGGGGCTGGATGGAACCGGGTCGGCAGGCCCCCGACGCGCGGGCACCCGGCGACGCTTGCCGCTGAGCACCTGCAGCTGTGCGGCCGCACCATCGCGCGGTGCCCGCCCTCCCGACCCGCCACCGGTGCGCAATGGGAGCGGGCGCAGGCGTTGCGGCGCGGCCGTGGCTCTGCAGGAGGGAAAAAACACAGACACAATTCATCGTCGATTCCCCAGGAAATATGCGAAAATATGGGAAGTGGGGTGGAAGACGAAAACCCAGCAAGTATAGGAAAATATGGGGAATCCTATTATTAGTGTCTATTTATTCGTGTGTTCCAGGGCCTCTTCAGCCTTGCACGACCGTCGCGGAGGGGCCGTTGGGGGGGGGGGGCGGCAGGCTTCGGGGCGTGTGCCGCAGCGTGCAGCACGAGTGGTTCATCAGGGCATGGCTGAGTGGGTCGGTTCGTGCTGTGCTGCTCCCCCATCTGTTGGTGGCGGTTGTCGCTGCGTCCTCTCCTTCTCTCCCTGCCCCTCCCCCGCTGCTCCAGTCGCCTCGAATGGGAAGTGGGTAGGGTGAGAGAGAGAGAGAGCTCTCCTATCCACCTCTTCTCTCGCCATGGCACGTTACGTAGCTGTTGCCCTTTATCGGCCTTTCCTCCAGGTTCTTCCCCGTCTCGCGTGCACCCGCCACACCGCGCTTTATGGTCCGTCCGCACCGCTGGACAGGGGAGATCAAAAGCGCGGCAGCGACATGGCACGTGGGCTCCTGTGCCCTGGTTGCCCTTTCGCAAGATCACGTCTCAAGTCACGGTTGTCTATCTCTTTTGCCCTCCCCCCCTCGCAGATGGCAGTGCTCGGCGTTGACGGCCGTGCACATTGGGAGCAGCGGGTGGACGACCGCGCGTTCCGCTTCGCGTCCGTGGATGTCCAGCTCGACCTAAAGTTCAACGACCACCACATGGATGGCAGGGAGGGCGCTTTGCCGACGTGCGTCTGTTGGTAGCATCGCGCGCACATGATCGAATCAAGTAGTACCAGGGCTTTTAGGACGATGAGAAAGGCGAGGGGGAGGGTGGTGGGGCTGGGAGGGGCAGGGAAGGAGGGGCATGAGGATGTGAATGGAAGGCGAATGAGGCGGTAGAATCGGAGGGGGGAGGATGTATGAGGACGGATGTGGAAAATACGAGGAGGAGGCGGAGGAGGAGGAGGAGGAGGAGGAGGAGGAGGAGGAGGAGGAGGAGGAGCAGGAGCAGGAGCAGGAGCAGAAGCAGGAGAGGGAGCAGGAGATCATTCAGGAGATGGTTATCGGGAAGAGGTTGACTGAAGAGTCCGTCCTGCAAATGCGCCTCTCGGGTGCCTTCGGCGGGCTGGGCCTGCGCCGCGAGGCGGAGGGCGTCATGGCCGACGCAGCGCTGTGGGCAGCCTGGGCCTCCAGGCGCGCGCGCGGGTGCCCGCCGTGGCCGCTGGCACTGGGCTTGCGCACCGCTTGCGGCGAGGCCGCCGATGATGCCCAGGGCGCGCGGCAGCGCCTGGCCCCCCAGGGCGCCGTCGTGGACCTCGAAGGGCGGGGTCGGGCACGCGCCGGCGGCCGCGGAGGAGCACGGAGGCGGCCCCTGGGCCGAGGACGTCGCCGGTGACGACCCTCGGCTCTCGGCGACAGCTGCCGGAGAGGCCACGCCTCCGGCGGCCGCCCCGGGCCAGGCGGCCGCCCGGGTGGCCGAGGCGCTCCGCGAGCCGTGTGTCTGCCGGCACCTCGAGGCGCCGGCGGCAGCCCGCGCTATCATGGCAGAGGCGGGGCGCCGAGGGGCGCGGAAGGCGTGCTGTCCGCCGGAGTCTGCACGAGCGGAGTGGGCGCGGAGAGAAGGGGTCGGGAGCCTCGAGACGGGGGTCAATGCAGACGGGGGTCAGCCAGGGCACTGGATCCTGCAGGATCCTGCGAAGACCCCCTCTGGTTGACCTGGGTGAGCGAGCCGCTCGTGGCCGCGAGGCAGCCGCGCGTATTGGCCCGTTCCTGCATTGCAGTTTTTGGTTTCCTGCTGACCCGGGTCTGGATTGACCCGGGTCAGAAGATCCCCGAATGGGTACAATGCCCAACAGCGGATCTGGTTCGTTTTTGAACGGGACTCGCTGTCTGCGCCGCCGCGGCCTGTGTCCATTCGAGACAGAGGGCCGCCTGCCCAACAGCGGCCGCTGTTGGTTTGGGGCAACATCTGTTGTTGGGCATTGTACCCATTCTTTCCGTGACCATTTCGGGCGTCCAAATGGAGGCGCTGGGGCTGGGGCGCTCTGGATGCAGATGCCCGCCGAGCCTGCCGGGCTCTTCCCGTCCTACCAGATCTGCGTGGCGTCCCTGCGCAGGCTCGGCGCGCTTGTGGCCCCCCGAGGCGCCACGTGCCGCATCCCGTGCCTGGGCGGTGATGGAGCAGAAGTGTGTGGACAGCTGCTGGACTTCAGTCGGGCCTGTCCCCCTACAGGGGGATTGTCGACGAAAAATAGCAAGTACCCCAACGTTGGCCCAAACATGGTCCAAAGATAGGCCGAGGACTATTTCTGGGGGTATTCTTTGGCCTTTTCGGGGTATTCTTCGGGTCGGTTTTATTTTTCGTCGACGATCCCCCTGCAGGGGGACACGCCCGACATAATGCTGGGCCCCGCCCTCCAGCACGGCCCAGCCGTGCAAAGCACGGCCCTGCGACCGCACAGGGCCCGCACGGGGGCTCTCCCGCGGCGGCGGCTGCCCAGGCCGCTGCGCGCGGTGCCGGGCGGAGGTCGACATGAGTCGCGCGGTCGCCGAGCTGAGCCGGACACGGATTAAGTCGGGCCTGTCCCCCTCCTACAGGGGGATTCTCGACGAAGAATACAACATGCCCTCAAAATAGGTCCAAACATGGCCCAAACATATTCATTTTTTTTTGTTATGTGTTTTTTTGTGTGTGTGTGCCTTTTTGGGGGAATGTTTTTAGGTATTTATTCGTCGAGAATTCCACTGTACGGGGGGACAGGCCCGACATAAAGGAAGCCATCTTGGACTTGTACGTTACTTATCCGGGCAGCCTGCAGCCGATCTGCATCGACGTGTCGATCCGCTGCCCACACGCGCAGCGCTACACGCGCGCTGCCTTCTGCCCAGACTCGGCGGCCTCAGAGGCGGTTGCGGACAAGCGCGCGCGCTACCGCAGCGGCGTGCTGCCTATCGCGGTGGAGTCCCACGGCCGCCTCGGGCAAGAGTCGCTGCGCTCCCTGGACATCCTGGCGACGCACGCCGTGTGCAGCCTCCGGGATGCCTGGGCCGCCCACGGCCGCCGCGGCCAGGGTTGCCTACGGCCGTGCGTTCGTGTCGTGAGCAGGCAGGATGGGGCGCAGAGTGCCACCTACGGTAGTGGTCGTGTCACCGAGTGTGCGTGTCCGCCAGCGGTGTCTTAGCAGGAGCAGGAGCAGGAACAGAAGCAGGATATGGATGGGAGGGTGGGTCTCTGGGAGGCCTCGCCGGGGTTGTCGACGCCTCCTGAGGTCCCCGGAGGCCTCCAGAGGCATCTGCAGGTCCTCCTCGTTCTCCTCGTCCACTTCCAGCTCCTCCTCCTCCTCCTCCTCCTCCTCCTCCTCCTCCTCCACGAAGAACCTTCAAGTCATCCTCTGCTTCCGTGCCCTCTGGTGGGGCGGGCGGGCGGGTCGGGCTCCTCAGGAGGCCGCGCGCGCCGCGCCGGCCGAGCAGAGCGAGGGTCGGAAGGACCCCGCCGTCCCGCGGGCCTCCGCTGCCGCGGCCCGGCGTGCGCCTCCCCGTCTCCGTTTTTCCGAGATGTGTTCTGAGCTGAAGTCGGGCTTGTCCCTCTACTCTTGGGCGCCCGGAGTGTGTACGGAAAGAATGGGTACGATGCCCAACAGCAGTTCCTGTTCATTTTGAACGGGACTCGCCGTCCGCGCCGCCGCGGCCTGTGTCCATTCGAGACAGAGGGCCGCCTGCCCAACAGCGGCCGCTGTTGGTTTGGGACAGCATTCGTTGTTGGGCATTATACCCATTCTTTCCGTACCCATTTCGGGCGTCCAAATCTACAGGAGGAGTATTCCCAAACAGTAAAACAATAGTCGGGGGACGAGTTTGTAGAGTATTTTGACCGTGTTGTGGTTTTGTTTGGTTGTTGTTAATTTTTCGTCCAAAGTCCCCCTGTGAGGGGGACAGGCCCGACTCCATTCTAAGCCAGAAGCCCCGAACCCCTCCCTCGCGCTGTGAAGAAGCCTCGACGGGAGGATCGCCGCTACTTTCAGCCACCGGGGTGTCCTTGCCGGGCCCCGGGGCCGTCAAGAATGAGAGCGTGAATTACCTACCCCGCTTTCGCTTCCAGGCAAGACCAAGTCATACCACGCGCCTCCTCGTCAAGCGGCCTGACCAGCGCAGGCCGTAGTTTGGCGTCGCTTGGTATCTCGTTGAAGGGAGGGTGGTCAAAAGCGAGGTAGATTGGTTTGCGCCCTATAAGAAACGACTCGGGACGAAGAGCTCGTCCCGGGGAAGGGGTCCAGGCCCTGGGGAGGACGTCGTGAGAGAATCGCGAAGCCGGGGGCCTGGGCATGCGCCCCTTGCCTCCAGCCTTCTGCGACGCTCTCTACGCCAGAAAGATCACCACCCACCAAACCACCCCAACCCAACCCGAAGGCTCAGATTTACCCTCGATTTCCAGTGGGATGAGGTCGGGAAACATCGACAAAAAACATGTGGAAGCCTTACCCCCCCAACCCGAAATTCGGGTCTTCGGGTTAGGTTGGGGTGGCCTGGTAGGTCGTCAAAAGAAGGGCGGGGGGGGACAGGACAGGGAGACTACCGGGTGTCGCGGGGCGCACGTGGTCACAGCCAGTGGGCCTGTCGGTGGAGCTCCCTATTGGGCCACGACGCGCCGTACCGGGTGGCGCGGGGCGCACGTGGTCACAGTCAGTGGGCCTGTCGGTGGAGCTCCCTATTGGGCCACGAAGCGCCGTGCTGGGCGGCGGCGCGGGCGCACGTGGTCACAACCACTGGGGCTTTCGGTGGAGCTCCCTATTGGACCACGAAGCGCCGTGCTGGGTGGCGCGGGGCGCATGTGGTCACAACCACTGGGACCTTTGGTGGAGCTTCCTATGGAACCACGGAGCGCCGTACTGAACGGCTCGGGGCGCATTCGGTTACAGCAACTGGGGCCTTCCGTGGTGCTCCCCATGGGGCCATGAAGCGCCGTTCTGGTTGGCGCGGGACTCATGTGGTCACATTCACTGGGGCCTTTAGTGGAGCTCCCAATCGGGCCACGAAACGCCGTACTGAGTGGCTCGGGGCGCATGTGGTCACAGCCACTGGGGCCTTCCGTGGAGCTCTCTATGTGGCCACGGAACGCAGTTTTGGGTAGCGCGGGACGCATGTGGTCACAGCCTTTGGGACTCTGTGGAGCTCGCGCTGGGGCCAGGAAGCGCCGTTCTGGGCGGCGCGGGGCGCATGTGGTCACAGTCAGTGGGAGCCACGAAGCGTGTGAGGGGTGTGCCGAAATGGCGGAGGGCAGAAGCCAGGGTGGGATGATGGGGGAAGGGCGAGGAGGAACAGGAACGTGGGGCGCTGTCTCTTCAACGCGAGGGCCCTACACCACAGGATGGTTGGGACAAACGGATCGCAAAACAAGCCGAAACCGGCGAGACGACAACCCCCAATCGGAAACACACGGCCCCCCAAGTCAGGAACTATCCGGGCGGCCCTGCCCCCTGAAAGCAGTTGTGAGTACCGCCAGTGTGAGAATTGCCATCGGTGGAGCTCCCAACGGAACCGCGGAATGCGAGAAGAGGTGATAGGTGTGCCAACGTGAGGGTGTGGCGGCATGCGGGCGCAGCCAAAGGGGCCTCAAGGTGTAGCTCCCTATGGGGCCACGACGCGTGCGAGGGGTGAGCCCCAATGAGGGGGATGTCGGCATGCGAGCGCAGCCACTGGGTCCTCAGGTGGAGCTCCATATGGGACGGCGAAACGTGTGAGGTGTATGTGTGTGTGTGTGTGTGTGTGTGTGTGTGTGTCTGTGTGTGTGTGTCAAAGTGAGGGTGTGGCGACATGCGGGCGCAGCCATTGACGTCTTAAATGTAGCTCCCTATGGGGCCACGAAGCGTGTGAGGTGTGTATCCAAATGAGGGTGTGGCGGCATGCGGGCGCAGCCACTGGGGCCTCAGGTGGAGCTCCCTACGGGGGCCACGACACGTGTGAGGGGTGGCGGCATGCGGGCGCAGACACAGGGGCCTCATGTGTAGCTCTCTATGGGGCCACGAAACGTTTGAGTGATGTGCCATAATGAAGGTGTGGCGGGATGCGGGCGCAGCCACTGGGGCCTTAGGTGGAGCTCCCTAGGGGGGCCACGAAACGTGGGAGGGGTGGCGGCATGCGGGCGCAGCCACAGCGGCCTCATCTGTAGCTCTCTATGGGGCCACGAAGCGTGGGAGGGGTGTGCCATAATTTGGTGGTGGTGGCATGCGGGCGCAGCCACAGGGGCCTTATGTGTAGCTCTCTATGGGGCCACGGAACGTGTGAGGGGTGGCAGCATGCGGGCGCAACCACAGGGGCCTTATGTGTAGCTCTCTATGGGGTCACGAAGCGTGCGAGGGTTGTGCCATAATGAGGGGGTGGCGGCATGCGGGCGCGGCCTCATGTGTAGCCCTCTATGGGGCCATGAAGCGAGTGAGGGGTGTGCCATGATGAGTGTGTGGAGGCATGCGGGCGCAACCAGTGGGGCCTTATGTGTAGCACCCTATGGGGCCACGAGACGTGTGAGGCGTGTATCATAATGAGGGTGTGGAGGCATGCGGGCGCAACCAGTGGGGCCTTATGTGTAGCACCCTATGGGGCCACGAAACCTTTGAGGGGTGTGCCAAAATGAGGGGGTGGCAGCATGCGGGCGAAGCCACAGGGGCCTTATGTGTAGCTCTCTTTGGGGCCACGAAACGTGTGTGAGGTGTGCCAGAATGAGGAGGGGGAGGAGGAGGCGGAGCAGGAGGAGGAGGAGGAGAAGGAGGAGCAGGAGGAGGAGGAAGAGGATCAGGAGGACGAGGAGGACGCGGAGGCGGAGGCGGAGGAGGAGGAGGAGGAGGCGGAGAGGAGGGAGGAGGAGGAGAGGAGGAGGAGGAGGAGGAGGAGGAGGGGAGGAGGAGGAGGAGGCGGAGGAGGAGGCGGAGGAGGAGGAGGAGGAGGAGGAGGAGGAGGAGGAGGGGAGAGGCGTCGGGAGAGAGGAGAGAGGCGAGATGAGAGAGGAGCCCTCAGGTCGGGCCGAGGACTGCACGACCCGAGGCAGCTCTGCCTGGCACCCATGGGCCGCTGGACGCGCGCTCGCGCTCTCGTGGGCTGCGGCCGGGGAGTGCCCCCGCCCCAGGGCCCTGCTGCCTCTGCCTCCTCCTCGTCCTCCTCGTCCTCCTCGTCCTATTCCTCCTCCTCCTCCTCCTCCTCCTCCTCCTCCCCCTCCTCCTCCTCCTCCCTCCTCCTCCTCCTCCTTCCTCCTCCTCCTCCGCCTCGCCGGGCCGAGGCGGGAGGGAGGCGGGGGAGGTGCAGGGAGAGAGAGGAGAGGGAGAGGGGAGGGGGGGAGGGGAGGGAGGCAGGGAGAGGGAGGGGAGGGGAGGGAGGGAGGGAGGGAGGGGGGGAGAGGGGGGAGAGAGAGAGAGAGAGAGAGAGAGAGAGAGAGAGAGAAAGAGAAAGAGAGAGAGAGAGAGAGAGAGGGAGGGGAGGAAGGGAGGGGGGGAAGAGAGGGGAGGGAGGGGAGGGGGGAGGGGGGGTCCGGCGGTCGCAGACATGGCTCGAGGGGGCGTGTCATAGCGACGGGTCCCATTGCATTTTGGGGAGGGCACCTCCCGCGATCCATGGATTTGGCGACCGCGCGCCAAATCCGTGGATCGCCAATCCATGCTTGCGCGCCCCCGAGGGGGGGGGAGATGGAGTGAGGAAGGGTGACCCAAGTGGGAGGGCTACCGCAAGGGGGAGGACGAGAACCCCCGCAAGCCGACGCCGCCTCGCCCAGCGAAGCGGCGGGCGTGAGAAGGCGCGACAGTGGCGCGCCCTGGCGCGAACGCGATCGCCCTTCTCTGTTGTGTCGTGGCAGGGAGGGTGGGAGGCAGGCAGGAGCGATCGGACTGGGCCAGGATGAGGAGAAATCAGTTCCAGAGCTCTCCGGAATGCTCTCAGAGCGTTCCGGAACGCTCTGAGAAGGCCGCAGCGCGCGAGACATCCTCCAGAGCTCCCGGATCTCGGAGATTTTCGATTCATCCTCACTTGAACTTGTCCTCGTCCTGGCTTCATCTTAGGCAGGCAGGAACAAGTGAGTACGCTGCGCCTCTCCCCCCTGGCGGCGGAGGACCCAGTAGAGCACGGCAAGCCGAAGGCGGCAGCTCTCTGCTCATGAAACTCTTACAGCAGCAGGGAAGCGCCTCGCTTCCTCGGGCGTGTGCTTTCTGTGCAGAGCTGGAGAGCGCGCCCCATCTTCCAGACTCCTCCTCCTCCTCCTCCTCCTCCTCCTCCCTGCTCCCTCCTCCTCCTCCTCCTCCTCCTCCTCCTCCCTCCTCCCTCCTCCTCTGGCTCCTCCTGCTCCTCCTGATCCTCCCTCCTCCCTCCTCCTCCTCCCTCCTCCCTCCTCCCTCCTCCTCCTCCTCCTTCTTCTCCTCCTCCTCCTCCTCCTCCTCCTCCTCCTCCTCCTCCTCCTCCGCTCTCCTCCTACTCCTCCTCCTCCTTCTCCTCCTGGAGGATCCACTTTTGCGGACCTCCCCGGGCGATGGCTATGGATATATCTTGGCCCCCAGGGGGCCCTTCGCTGGGGCACCAGGACGTCGGTTCCCAGGCGGTGGATATGAACAAATCCCCGCCTCGCATCATCCAAGCGGTTTCATGGATCGGCCTAGGAGTACAGCGACATTTGCTCGAAGCGACTCTTCGGAGGGAGGGGAAAGCGACGGAGCGTTTGTCTGGTGTGAGGCTGGACTGGCGGTGAATGCACGAGCTTCAAAAGGGGCCCAAGAAAAGCACCCCAGACGGCCCCAAGAGCGCTCAAGATCGCCCCGAGGGCGCTCCAAGAGGGCCCCCAAAGGCGAGTCTCGGGTGGTGTAACCATTGGCTGCGCAGACGCTGAGGGTCCGTTGCCTTGCTCTATCGCCGGTGACCCACGACGTCTTGAGGCCACTCCACGCCGAGCCAGAGGCGCTGTGGCGGATGGGCTTGGTACCAGTAAGGATGGGATGCAGGGCTGGACCTAAACGGTGTTTTGGCGATGTCGTGGGCCGTTTTTGTTTCGCATTCGTTTTGCGGTAGAGGTGGATTGAAGACAAAACGAGGGAAACCAAAAACAATACGAAAACGAAAAACACCGTTTAGATTTAGCCCTGATGAGATGGGATGGGTCGTGACACGACCCATAGGCGCCAGTAGCTCAGCAATTGGCGCTTGTGGATCGTGCGAAGAGAATTCTGCACATGCGCCGGTCTTGGCCAGACCCATCTTTGGCCCAGGAACGGCTCCCCGAAAACGAATCAAAACACATGTTTTTGCACCATCAGTTTTCAACATAATACTGCGCTCGCGGTCTTGCTGATTCATCACATTGTCCTTTTTAAAAACGAACCTGTTCATCACATTATGTCAAGTGGGCTTCTCGCAAGCCTTCATCGTCGACGCGAGGACATCGTCATCGTTATCGGCGGGCGCGATCAACGTCGGTGCCGTCGTTGGCCTTGCCGTCGTCATTGCCACCTTCGTCACCGTCGCCACATTCATATTCGTGTCTACCGTTGTCGTCGTCGCCAGGATGCCGCGCCCGCCCAAGTCGCCTGCTCGTGCTGAAGTGCCCGCTGGGAAGTGCCCAGCGGTCAGCGCCACCGCGGCCGCGTCGGCCGGGCCAAACTAGTTGGCCGCTGCGCGCGCGAGAACGCGCGGCCTTGCGCGGCCGCAGAGGTGCACCAACCAACGCCAAGCACTCCTCGCAATCCTCGCCTCGTGGGCTTCTGCAAACCAAGTTGCGGGTGGGTGGGTGGCATGTTCGCAAAGGTATGTGATTTGCATGTTTTTTTTGTGACAGTCTTTTTATTCCGATCCCCCCCAAGGGTTAACGATCCCCCTCGCGATACGTAGTGTACATCAAATTCTGCCCCATCGTTCTTCCGAAATATGAGTTCGTACCATCCCAGCTGAGCCAGTATCGCCCCCCCCCCCCCCCCGCCATCCTCTGCAACGAATGTTATGTGCGAGTTCTCGTTTATCGACGATGATCGGGTTTCAAAAATCCCGTGTAAAAAACTTGACGAAGCGCAGGCGCGCGCGTCGTCGCGCGCGCATGCCCGACTCCTTTACACATGCCAGTTTTGGCAAGAAATTCGGAATCAAGTGCTGCGAAAACGTATCAGAGCACACGCAACATCAGTATTCGAAATATCCTGCGCTCGCGCTCGTGCGTATTCTTTAGGAAGCCGTAGCTTTTCCAACGTGTCAACAGCGTTGTGCCAAACTGGCCCCTCGCGTCGCATGTCGAAGTCATTGGAGCGCTCTTGCGCGTGTGTTGAGGAGGGGAGGGGGTGGGCGCGATCCGTGCCAGGTAAAGCCACGCGGGCCACTCGCGCGCGTCGGCCGCTCGCGCGCGTCGAACTCTTTCACCAAGAATCGACGCCGACGCGAGGACATCGTCATCGTCATCGGCGTGCGTGATCAACGTCGGCGCCGTCGTTGGCCTTGCCGTCGCCATCGCCACTTTCGTCACCGTCGCTCCAAACGTAAATCGGGTCTACCGTTGTCGTCGTCGCCAGGATGCCGCGCCCGCCCACGTCGCCGACTCGTGCTGAAGTGCCCGCTGGGAATTGCCCAGCGGTCTGCGCCGCCGCGGCCGCGTCGGCCGGGCCAAACTAGTTGGCCGCTGCGCGCGCGAGAACGCGCGGGCTTGCGCGGCCGCAAAGGTGCACCAACCAACGCCAAGCACTCCTCGCAATCCTATCCGCGTGGGCTTCTGCAAACCAAGTTGCGGGTGGGTGGGTGGGGCGTTTGCTTGGGGGGTGGTTCGGCGTGGCGGAGGATCGTCACATGCCCCTCTCTTGCATGAGCATGCCCCCCCCCTCCGGGATTATCGAGTCACCTCTTCGTCTATCAATTGACGTGTGATTCTGTCCCATTGTCCACCCTACGTATGAGTTCGCGCCATCCCAGGGGGGCCGGCATCGGCCCCTCCCCGCCATTGCGCGCGCATTCGTTTATTGAAATTTATTTGTTTCCAAGGCTCCCATGGGCCGGGGTGGGGCGAAGTGCGCGCCCGCGCGCCCGCGCGTTCTCGCGCGCGCGTGTCGACATGCAGCAAAAACCTTAGGTTTCGTAAGGGTATTTAAATCGAGATTCCAAAGAACATATGAACACATAGGGTTTCGCAACGCGGGTTTTCAAGCGGACCTTGCGCGCTCGCCCTTGCGAGTTGCGAAGAAAATCGCAGGGTCTTCAACATGTCCTTAAAGCGCTACCAAGAGGGCTTTTCGCGCGCATGTCGAAATCGTTCGCGCGCATTTGCGCGCGTGCTGTCGCGAGAACCCTTTGCGTCAGATGAGACGAAGTGCCCGCGCGTCTCGTCGCGCGCGCGTGCCGAAATCCGCGACGCATTCGGCTTCGTGGCGGTTTCAAAACCCGGATGCGCAAAACAACGCGTAGGAGCACATGTTTTCGCGACGAGAGTTTTCGAAAAAGCGTGCGCTCGCGCTTGAGAGAACCAGCGCCGAAATCATTCGCGCGCCCTCGTCTCAACTAATTTCATGCGAGCCGCTCTCGCGCGGCGGCCGCGCGCGCGTGTCGAACTCTTTCTGCGACCTTCATGGCCGACGCGACGGCGCCGTCATCGTCGGCGGCGTGATCGGCTCCGGTGCCGTCGCTGGCCGCGCCGTCACCGTCGCCGACGTCGTCGCCAGCGTCGCAACTCTCATAGTCGTATCTGCCGTCGTCGACCTTGCCGTGGTGCCGCGCCCGCCCAAGTCGCCGACTCGCATTGAAGTGCCCGCTGGGCTCTGCCCAGCGGTCAGCGCTACCGCTGCCGTGCCGGTCGTGCCAAAGTAGCTGGCCGCGGCGCGCGCGTGCTCGAGTTGGCGCGGCCGCGGAGATGCGCCAGCCAGCGCCAGGCATGTGTCGCAGTCGCCGCCGCATGGGTTTTGCAGACCAAGTTGCGGGTGGGTGGGTGGGGGGTTCGCAGGAGCGTGGGATGTGTCAGTTCGTTTATAAAAATCAACTGCGCCACTTAGACTGCACCTCGCAGCTTTCGCAGCAAAGTTTGAAACGCCGTACGTCTCGCGCATGTTGAACTTCATTGCATATATATTCATGTATATATATATATATATTTATCACCATGTCTGTTTATATATATATATACACATCTATAAGCATTGCAGCGCGCACGTCGAGTGCGCAACAAATATTGCGCCACGTGCGTTGCTCCACATAAATGCGCCACGTAGTCTCCATTGCAAGAGAATAGTAAGACCACCGACCCCCCTCCCCCCTCCCGGAATTAACGATGCCCCGCTGCGTATTGCAATTTCATAGGATTCTGCCTTATCTGCTTTCCGAGCTATGAATTCGTACCATTCCAGTCAGACCGGCATCGCCCCCGCGCCCTCCACTCATCCTCTTGTAATGAATGCGATGCGCGCGCGTTCGTTTATCCCGAACCATCAGTTTCCAAGGGCCCCTTTGCAAGAAAACAGGCGAAGTGCACGCGCGCGCGACGTCTGGCGCGTGCGCCGAATGTTTGCGAACATATATGTTTTCGCGAGGATTTGAACATCGAGTGCCTTGGAAACATATGCACGCACATGGCTTCGCAACAAGAGTTTTCAGAACGAGCCCGCGCTCGCGCTCTTGCAGATTCTTCAGAAAACCATCGGTGGTTCAACATTTTCCATCAGCTGCCGCCGCTCGTGCCTCTCGCGCTCGCATGTCGGAATCACTCGAACGTCTTCGTGCGCGTGCTGTCGCGAGAATCCAGTGCGCGAAAACGGGGCGACTCGCGCGGGCGCGCGCTGTCGCGCGCGCTCGGGAACCTTTCAAACAAGTTTTCGCATGGGTTTCACAATCGCGTGCGCCGAAAACATATAGAGCACGTGGTTGTGCAACATAAGTCTTCAAATATGTTTGCGCTTGCGCTCCTGCGAGTTCTTAGGCCAACTGTGTGTCTCTGGTGGTGAAATTCAACATTGTCGTTGGCTTCGGCCAAGCGGGCCTCTCGCGCCGTCGTGCGAGCGCCCTTGCGCGCGCGCTGGGGGAGGGGTGGGTTTTGGGGGGGGGGGGGCGGGGGGTAGGGCGTGATCCGTGCCAAATGATGCCGTGCGGGCCACTCGCGCGTCGACCGCGCGCGCGCGTCGCAATGCCGCG